ATGGTCATTTTTTAACAAAGTCCGGCTCCGCCAGGGAGCGAACCCACGACCTTCCGATCTTGCGGCGAATGTCTAGCCGCTCGGCCACGGCGACTTCCATGGCAAACAATACACGAAAAAAATTGTAATCAATGTCCAGGGACGTAATAACTCCCTACGATGCCACGTTTTGTTTTTGTTTGGTTATGTCCCTTGTTATGTTAAAACTCAAATTGTGAATCTTTAAACGCCTAAACGTTTGCCTCGCGTTTTAAAAAGGTCATGAATTCGTCTCATGGCTGTGTCATTCGGTTCACGAGAATTTTAACAGAGATGCATGGGGATCGTCGCTGGGACCAGGAAGTGTGTGCTTTGTGTGTCGCTCTTGACAGGCCGCAAGCCGTTCTGCGATGGAAGATAAAGTCGATATTTTAACTCTTTAACATTTAATCCACCGGGATTTGTCCCATTCGGCTTGGTCTCTTTCTTCAGATCATTCCTTTTTTCTTTTGTCCCCCCCCCCCCACACCTGTCTGGGTTCCGGGGCCTCATTGTGAGGAAAACAAGAATAGACTCACTGCCACCCTAACAAGCATGTCGTAAGAGTCAACATATTATGCTGGTTTCCTTCGAAGTCGGAACGCAGCTGCTTGAGCGGCAGCAAGGAAAAAACAGTATGCATACAAATAAGGCAGATCTGTAACAGGGACGTGCCTGCAAAACAGAAGTTCAGGGACAAAACTAAAAGCCCAGAAGTGGGGAAGAAAAAAACAAAACTTTCTGCCGGATAGAGATAACTTGCAAATGCGTCCCAATGTCGGTGGCATGGCATTTGTTTGTAAAGCTCCACCTTGGTTGTTGCCGGGGGCCCTGAGCACGGTTTCCCTAGCTCCTGCGACAATTTGCGGATTCCTTGGTTGACTTCAGCTGAAAAAGGTGGTTTTGAGGGAGGGTGGGGGGAGGGGGGAATTGCGTATCGACTTCACCAGGTAAACCAGGTTTGTCATCTTTTTTCTTGCCTGATGGGAAGGCGACAGAACCATTGACATTTGGAAATACCGTTAAATTATTCTTTTTTTAATCATCATCATCATTATCAATATCGTCTTTAATCCTCAACTTCTTCTTTCTCATTTCCCTTACCCTTCTCCTTCCTCTTCTGCTGCTGCTTCTTTTTCTTCTTCTTCTTCATTTTCTTCTTCTTCTTTTTCTTCTTCTTCTTTTTCTTTTTCTTTTTCTTTTTCTTTTCTTCTTCTTCTTTTTCTTCTTCTTCTTCTTCTTCTTCTTCTTCTTCTTCTTCTTCTTCTTTTTCTTTTTCTTTTTCTTTTCTTCTTCTTCTTTTTCTTCTTCTTCTTCTTCTTCTTCTTCTTCTTCTTCTTCTTCTTCTTCTTCTTCTGCTTAATCCTTATTTTCTGTTTTTCTTACCCTTTTTTTAATGGTCCTAGTTGTCTTCCAGCATTATTAGTTTTCCAGTGGGTATTTACTCAAGAAGCCAGCACACACGATGCTCCGTGACATTTTCCAAAGTCCTTTCAACGATTATGAAAACCCTTTTACCCGCTTGATATCCAGTCAGTGTATCATTCAAGTGAATTCTTTAGCAAGGCCTCTTGTGTCCTGCTATCAGTTCGTTCCCTTCACATGTCATATCCAGCCCAAGTATCTGGCTGTTGTACACAAACCAGCAGTTACAGCGCAGTGCTAGTCGCCTGCCTTTTGTGGAAAAGGGCCCAGTAATGCGGAGAACCAGGTAGATGGACAGACAGGCGGACAGACAGACAGACAATTATGCATGTAATAAATACACAGACAATGTATTAATCGGCGCTGATAGCAGGAAGTAGAAAGATAGAGGGACGCACGTGACAGTCTAAAAATCGAAAGCTTTAGTTACCCTGCCGGCTGTCAAGCATGTCACATCCAAACGACAACCCCCCCCCCCCCACAGACCCCCACCCCCTCACCCCCTCGGTGTGAAAACAAGTGTACTGAGGCGCATGACCACAAGTAAGAGAGAGAGAGAGAGAGAGAGAGAGAGAGAGAGAGAGAGAGAGAGAGAGAGAGAGTTCGCTGCAAAAGAAGCAAGAGTCTGAAAAGCTTTCGAGAAAGAAAGAAAAACACAACACGTTAACGGGTAAAGCGAACGCTAACACACACACACACACACACACACACACACACACACACACACACACACACACACACTCACACATAGAAGGAAAAGGAAAGAAACGATGTGACAAAATTACAGATCCGAAACGTCAATGAGTAACACTCATTCAACAAACAGAGATTTAAAAAAAAAACTAATTAAAAGCATATAAACAAACAAAAGCAGACAGGTACGAGAGAAAGAATTACCACGAGAAATGAAGCAGTGGGCGCAAACCGTAGAACAATCAAACAGAAGATTTGAAATTAGCTACATTTAAATTGTCATTCAGAACAGCAATAAAACGACCTTATTAAAGGCCCATAATTTTTATACGAAGATTGAGAGTAAGTTAGCTCCCATGGCGAGAGTCCAGTTTTATCAAGTTAATGATCTTTGTAAGGTTTCATTGATTGCCTTTGAGAGCGTTCCATTCTGCTTTTATTTCATTCTCTCATTCATTTATCCATCGCTCTTGTAGTTATAATAGATTTAATTTCAGTATTCTCATTTGAAAAGTAACACAGTGTGGTGTCTTTTTTTTTTAAATTAAACTCTCTGTATGTTATGATTTGGCTGTTTTTACTTATGAATGAGCATCTCTCCTCTCTCTCTTTCTCTCTGTCTCTCTGTCTCTCATACTCTGTGTGTTTGTATGTATGTGCTTATGCGTGTATGTGTGTGTGTGTAGGTGTGCAGGTGCCTTTTCTCATTTTACTTGGTTATTTCTATGTTTGTATGAGCGTATTTGATGCTTTTTCCTTCGCGTCCTTCTTTGTGTGTGTGTGTGCGTGTGTGTGTTTACATGCTCACGCGTGCGTGTCTGTGTGTCCATGCGTATGCTCTGCTTATTTAATTTATTACTTCTATGGATGTGTATATATGTGTATGTTCACGCCTGTGTTGCTTTTTTAATAACTATTTTCCCCGGAATGTATATGAACTTGTGTCTGCATATTAGTTTTTGTTTTAATTACTGTGTGTTTGTGTGTGTGTGTGTGTGTAAGCGCGTCAAAGTTAAGAGGGCTAATTTAACTGCCCTGCTCATTCTATATAGCTCGGTCTCACTCCGGAAAACAAATAGCCACTTGCCGATAGCGTCGAACAGAGCACGAACTCTGGAACTTCAGTGACGATCCCTAGTTATCTCGGTAAAATTGCACACGTGGACTGAACGACGAGTCCCTGAAACTAACCCTTGACCTTGAAAACGCGAGGCGTCCTGTGTGGGTTCTGAGGCCCCATCATAGGTTGGGTGAAATAGACCCCCTGACCTCCAACAAGAATGTCGTAAGAGTTGACTAATAAGGTTTGTTTTCCGAAGTCGGGGTGCACCTGTCTGACCAGCAAGGAACCAACAGGCTGCATACACGTAAGCCATATTTGTAAAACAGATGTACACGCAAAACTCGTGTTCTGCACCACGACTAAAATTCAGAAGTGCACAAACAACCAGAACATTTCGCCGGGGTTTACAACCTGGGAATGCTAAGGAGAAGACAAATATTGAGTCAAACCGTTTGCCAACCTGGCCACAGGGACTCTCTGTCCGTTAGTTAATGAATGGCTAACAGTTTTAACTTGCTGTCCACAGATGGCTGCTGCAGTGACTCGCCGAGACAATGGTCAGTGGTAGATGACATCGCCCTCGATTTTACGTACCTCCCTTCAATCCAGGGAAAATACCTCGGAATCAAGGGTCATTACACCGCATCTCAGAACCAGACGGCCCCGACCGAAAACCTTACAGCTACGTCTAAGAATCAGACAGCACCATCTAAGAATCAGACAGCACCATCTAAGAACCAGACAGCACCGTCTATAAATCAAGCAGCACCGTCTAAGAACCAGACAGCACCGTCTATAAATCAAGCACCGCCATCTAAGAATCAGACAGCACCATCTAAGAATCAGACAGCACCATCTAAGAACCAGACAGCACCGTCTATAAATCAAGCAGCACCATCTAAGAACCAGACAGCACCGTCTATAAATCAAGCACCAACATCTAAGAACCAGACAGCACCGATTAAGAATCAGACAGCACCATCTAAGAACCAGACAGCACCGTCTAATAACCAGACAGCACCGTCTAAGAACCAGACATCAGAGTCTAGAAACCAAAAAAAGCATCGCCTAAGCTGCATCAATCGCATTCAAGAACCAACTCCTCGTCTGCTGGCGAGGGGCTTCATCCAGACTTCAACAAACAAGTCCGACCACCAGTGTGTTATCACTACACCCAGTCTATGCCGTGTAGAGTTCACCATTACCTCAAAACAACTATAGCCTTACTGTCAGTACCTCCTTCAACTTGAAGACCAAATCAGGGCCTGTTTTGTTATATCTCGTTCCCACTTTTACGCTCAGTAGCAGTTTTATTTGTCTGCACCAGATAATGACAAGAAAGATATTAATTACCTCATCACTTTGCCACAGTAGAAACTCTTTATGCAAACCACTTTATTTAATTCTTATTACTTTATGTGTCACTTAGTGAAGCAGATTGAGTTCCAAAACATTGCCAGCCACGCGTAGCTTGCGTAACATTGTTTTCTTGTCTGCTGATTGGTATTAATAGAATAATTCACGTGTCCTTTTGATCCAGAAGATTTGTTTTGTAGATGTATCGATATAAACAATAATTCATTTTTATGAATACAGGCATTAGTTCGAGGTTTTGAGGGCATGCCTCTAAACTTACGCAAGTCAGTTTAAACCATCGCAGGGTATTCTTAAAGCAGTTGTCAATTGCTGCAAACGTTGTCGGAATCTCATTATTTATGAGTCAAAATTTGTTGTTTTGAAGAAGCTGCAAAAATATACCTTTCCTTGCAAAGTCCAACGCCCATGACCTGACGGGTACAATATGTCGGAGACGAATGTTTTGTGTGAAAACTTCCCCAGGACAAACAGCAACAGTAATTCCACTAACGTCAACCCTACCCAGGACAGCAATGGGAATATTCGTAGTCCCACCACAATCCCAGACAATCTGGACGCATCGAAATCAAAGTTGTCCTTCTTGGAAAACATTGACCGTGAACGGAGATCCCCACACGACTTTCAGCTTCATCGCCGGAACTCATCTCACGGCCTCGATCTTTCTAAATCCCACCCATCCTCTCCAACAGACGGCATCAACGGGTTAGATTTGACGAAACAGGAACTCCCGTCTCCAAATTCATTCTCACGGTCTTCCGATCCCACGCCATTTACAAATGGAATACCCACCCCGACACAGATTAGCTATGGTCCTGGTCGGTCCCATAGCGCCGGAGAAGCCGTGTCTCCTTTCCGATCCGATCCTATTCCGAACGGATACAGTCCTGATAACTTAGCCAACGGCGATTACAAAAACACATTTCTGGAGTCTTACGGTAGATCCATAGATTCCACATCGAACAGGTTCCCAGAGGGGTATTCCAGCAAAGTATTCGATCCAATCACATCACCTCCTGGAATGATGACGTCTTGCTCAGGGTCACCAGCGTACCCCACTAAAATGTCTGACTCGTTCATAGCAGCGAAATTAGCTGAACATTCGCAGTTTCCCAAACCTCAAGACCCGTACAGCAAACTTTTAGAGGATTACTGTAACAACGCCAAAAATAACAATAACAACATTACCGGACCAAAACTGAACGATGACTATACGGACATTTGCGGAAAAATGTCCGATTCGCCGTATAAAAAGATCGCAGAATCTTACGTGAAACAAATAGAGTCCTTAGCCAACGGCTACAAATCTGATGTAGGTATCTTTAAGCACGAGAACTCTTTGTCTCCCGAGTCCTTCAAATCTGACCCACCAACATTCGGCGCTCTTCCCAAACCTGACCCCAACTTGACCAACGGGGGTACCTTCGGCAGTATGGCGGACTCGGTCAGTTCATCCTCTCAGCCGTCTGGCCAATCGCTGCCCAGTATTATGAACTTCTCGACCAATCACCTTCGAGGTATCGCCGGAGTGGACAGTGGACTGTCTGGTTTCTTGAACAGCTACGGCGTGGGAGGGGACAGTAGAGGCGACCGGGGAGATAACAGAAGTGGAAGTGGAAGGGATAACCAGGGAGGCAATGGAGGAAATGGAAACGACTCAAATATATCCAGAGCCAGCCCTAACAACAAACTTGCTTGCAGATTTTGCGGCAAAACTTTCTCTCAGGCTGGGTACATCAAGGTAAGGCATTGTTGTGGAAACAGCTTTTAAATATCAAAATCAAATCATTCTATTCATTATTCACCTGCCGTCTCCGCAGTGAACATTGGCTGCAGCGAATCTTCAACTGTCTTTTGCTTCGGTTTTTCACACTCTCGGACTGCTGTTTGTCTATCTGTCGATGAGGTCCTCCCACTTATGTTATTGGCTACCTCTGGTCCTCTTAACTTCCACTTTTCCCTCCACATCTTAATGGTCCTCACTCCCGTTATGCTTTTATGTTTTTCCTTATTTAGGTCACTCCCTGAAGGTTTGGCCATCTCCGAGACTATAAGAATCCCATCCTGAATGTAAATACAATAGAGCAAATTTCAGGTTTTCCGTTCAACCTCTTCCCAATATAGTCATCTATTCATTCTCACTGACAGTGGTTTTGGGATGAGAAGGTCATATACACCTATGAAGTCTGGGGCGTGACGCTGTTCCTCCACTGATCCCAACAGCTTAATTTCCCCCGGAATGTTAATAGTACCATCGGATCTGGGACTCTTCGCTTGCTGCTGAAGATAGGGACAAAGCAATTATGGGGGTATCCCGAGTGATGTAGATTTGTAATTCAACAATAATTCCAGCGGAATATTTTTTCCTCAGACCTGAGATCACCGAAGTGTATGTGGGGAGATAATGTTGTCTGTTGGCGTTCATCGGCTGTAAACCCTGGCGGAAAGACCTCATTGCTCATCCATTTCTGGAATTTGGCTTTGTTCCAACACCTGATTTTTGCCTATGTATCCGTTTTACAGATTTTGCTAGTTATATGGAAACTGTTGGTCTCTTGCCTCTCAGGCAGGTGGACTCCAACTTTGAAGGATGCCAGCAATTAGTCAACTTTTACGATATGCTTGTGGGGGAGGCAGTGGGTCTATTATTGTTTTCCCTACAATGGGGCCCTGGAACCCACACGGGCATTTGGAGATCATGTCTGCACTCTTTCGGTTTATAACCTATATATATGCTTTTTTTTTTCCCCCACCGTACTTCTTTATTCTCACCAAAATGATGTTTTCACCCCCTAGGCTCACGAGCGCCTACACACGGGCGAGAAGCCATTCGCCTGCTCCGTGTGTGGCAAGCGCTTCAGCGACCCTAGCAACTGGAAGAAGCACGAACGCGTCCATGCTAACAACAAGAAACCTGGCAGCCTACTGGACTCCCAGGAGGCAAAGGTCGGTCTGTTCCCGTTCACTGTGTCTGTCAAATGTGTTGTCTTCAGTGCATCTTGATGTTTTGTCTTCAGCGTATCTTGATGTTTTGTCTTCAGTCCATCTTGATATTTTGTCTTCAGTGCATCTTGATGTTTTATCTTCAGTGCATCTTGATATTTTATCTTCAGTGTATCTTGACGTTTTCTTATCAGTCCATCTTGACGTTTTGTCTTCAGTGCATCTTGATGTTTTTGTCTTCAGTGCATCTTGATGTTTTGTTTTCAGTGTATCTTCACGTTTTGTCTTCAGTCAATCTTGATGTTTTGTCTTCAGTGTATCTTGGCGTTTTCTTATCAGTTCATCTTGACGTTTTGTTATCAGTCCATCTTAATGTTTTGTCTTCAGTGTATCTTGGCGTTTTCTTATCAGTTCATCTTGACGTTTTGTCTTCAGTACATCTTGATGGTCTGTTAACTCTGTACCATGAGACTTACTATACGTGCATACAGGAGCGCCGACACGAGAGGAAAAAAACACGGGGGCGGGCAGACTAAGCCGTATGACAAATTATGTGTGTATAGCTGAAGTTGTAGTTTATTTAGCTTCAAAATCTCAGGATACATGTATTGGAAATAAATTCAAGCTTATTCCTTTCCCCTATTTCGCAGTATCTGGTCATGCTGGTACAGAATTTACATTAATATACAACCTTCTTGCTTTTTCTTCGATCTTTTCACAAAAATCTTATATCAGGTTACCAGTAGCCGTGGGGAAAGCTAACCTCCTAGTGTGCCATGCGGCTTTGTTTTGATTGAGGTTGGAGAAGGTAGGTAGGTGGTAGGTGTTTTGCTGGGGTGGAGGGCGGGGGTCGCAACGTTCAACCACCATCGCCGAAGGTGGAGCTTTAGATTATAATTATGACTAGGTTATTTGCGCCAGATAAAATGGCTTAGTATCGCACGCCATTGAGCCATGAAAAGGACTCCTGCAGGAGTGATGCGATCAAAGGAGCCGACCCAAATACTGTCCCGACCGGTGACGAAGTCGTCTACCGACCAGCCTATGGGCTATCTGGTCACCGATGGAGCAGGTCAGTTGACCTTTTTTTTAAACATGTATACAGCCTCCAGTATTTGAGTACACATTCACCATTTCCTGGCGCCACCTTGTAGGGGAACCTCACTGTGTCCCCCATACCGAAAAACTTGAACACTTGTTGGCAAAGTCTATTGTCCCAGTTCTTGGGTCTGAATATGATGCACGAAAAGGCGAAGAAGAGATGCTGGCTTTGGATAAAACATACTTGGAGAAAACTTCACAATAGTATAACTAGAAGGGCTTTACACCCGGACCCCCCTTTTCCCCCCAGGGGCCTAGAAACATAGGCAGAACAAAAGCACACGTTGAAGATAATTATAAAGTGAAGCAAAAAGATGAGGAGGACTTTGGGTGACCTGCGTGCTATAGCAAAGGATAGTACGACTTGGGAGGATTTGCTTAAAGGCTTATGCTCCACTGTTATTGGAGGATAAAGGGTAGACAAAGACGAAGACAGTAAAGCACGCAAAATTAATTAGTTGGACTAAAATACACAAATCACATTATCGATTCTTTTACTGTATGCAACACCAGCCATAGTTTTCTTTTGTCTGTGCAATAAAAAGCTGCACATGTTCCTTGGTGTAACTTCTGATTACTTCTGTATGTACTAGTTACTAGGTAGTAGAGGTACCACTTCTTGCTCGTCTTTCTTTAGCTTTTCCCTCTTTGGATGTGGTCGACAAAGATTACTCCTTTCTCTCTCTCTCTCTCTCTCTCTCTCTCTCTCTCTCTCTCTCTCTCTCTCTCTCTCTCTCTCTCTCTCTCCCCCTCTCTCTCTCCTTTGTCTGCCTGCCTGTCTGTCTGTCTGCTTGCCTGTCTGTCTGTCTGTTTGATTGTTTGTTTGTCTGTTTGTCTGCATGCTTGTCTGCATGCCTGCCTGCCTATCAGTCAGTCTGTCAATCTATCTATCTATCTATCTAATCTATCTATCTAATCTATCTATCTATCTATCTATCTATCTATCTATCTATCTATCTATCTATCTATCTATCTATCTATCTATCTATCTATCTATCTATCTATCTATCTATCTATCTATCTATCTATCTATCTATCTATCTATCTATCTATCTATCTATCTATCTATCTATCTATCTATCTATCTATCTATCTATCTATCTATCTATCTATCTATCTATCCATCCATCCATCCATCCATCCATCCATCCATCCATCCATCCATCCATCCATCCATCCATCCATCCATCCATCCATCCATCCATCCATCCATCCATCCATCCATCCATCCATCCATCCATCCATCCATCCATCCATCCATCCATCCATCCATCCATCCATCCATCCATCCATCCATCCATCCATCCATCTATCTATCTATCTATCTATCTATCTATCTATCTATCTATCTATCTATCTATCTATCTATCTATCTATCTAATCTCTGTCTGTCTGTCTGTCTGTCTGTCTGTCTGTCTGTCTGTCTGTCTGTCTGTCTGTCTGTCTGTCTGTCTGTCTGTCTGTCTGTCTGTCTGTCTGTCTGTCTGTCTGTCTGTCTGTCGGTCGGTCGGTCGGTCGGTCGGTCGGTCGGTCTGTCTGTCTGTCTGGCTGTCTGTCTGTCTGTCTGTCTGTCTGTCTGTCTGTCTGTCTGTCTGTCTGTCTGTCTGTCTGTCTGTCTGTCTCTGTCCCTGTGGCTACATGTGTGTCTGTGTCTTTACGTGTGTCTGTGTGTGGGCGTGTCTGTGTGTGTGTCTTTGTGTGTGTTTGTACGTGTAAGACTGTGTGTTTGTGCATGTATATCTGTGCATGTGTCTGTGTGTGTCTGTGTGTGTGTGTCTGTGTGTGTGCCGGTGGCTGCATGTGTGTCAGTGTGTATCTTTACGTGTGTCTGTGTTATCTGTGTGTATGTGTGTGTTTGTGCGTGTGGGTCTGTGTGTGTCTGTGTGTGTCTCTGTGTGCGATTGTGCGTTTGTGTATGTATGTGTGTATGTGTGTGTTTGTGCGTGTGGGTCTGTGTGTGTCTGTGTGTGTCTCTGTGTGCGATTGTGCGTTTGTGTATGTATGTCTGTGTGTGTGGCTGCGTGTGTGTCTTTGAGTGGGTGTATATGTGTCTGTTAATGTGCGTCTGTGTGTGTGTGTGTGTGTGTGGCTGCACGTGTGGGTAAACACAAGGTGAAGAGCATGTCCCTTTGTCTGCGTAATTCTGGACTATACTGGTTTATCGCGGTTGCTTCCGCAAATCTCAATAATCTCCGTCTAATGTTTGTTTCGAAAGTAGAAACAGGAGCTGACCGTTGAGTGGGCAATAACAAACTTAAAACCCAGCAACTCACTATGCGTTCAATAGTAACACTTGATATGATATGCTTTTCTTTTCTCCCTTTTTCTCATGTAACTGGTATATTGCCATCTACTGCATTTGTTATACCACTTTTTGGGTTGTATGCGGGGGGATCTTTTATCTTTTACGGCGGCATGGCTAGTGCTGTCGCCACGACTGTGCAGGTGAGGATTTAATTTTGTCACAGCAAGGTTTAGTGTCGGGAATCCTGCTTGACTTCTTTATTTCTTTAGGTAGTATCTACTTTGTGCCGTTAGTGATGGAAGGAGGGGTCAGGTTTGGGGGTTTGGGAGATGAGGGGGTGGGGTGCATGCAGTCAAGTTAATACCGAGAAATTAATCAACTATAACTAAGAAGCTTATCGGGGAAAGGGGACGGGGGTCGGGTGGTGGTAACGTACGCACACAAGAAAGATGACGTTTCGGTCTAAAGCTTATTCATCACAA